ACAAATCGTTATTCTCTAAATGTCCTGTTTTTAGAGATTGTGTATGTCTGGTCAAGGGAATCTTTTTGCAGCTGAATAATAAAATAATCCCTGTTGTGCTGTTTCATTTTACTTACATAAATACAATGCCTCCTGTATCCAACCACTCTCCTTTCTTATTGTAAGACTGTTCTTGTCATAAGTACAAAGGTTCTGTTGTCTCGAGAGAAAACACTTGCACTTTGGATGGACTCCTGCTTTCATCTCTCATCTGTGGTGATTTGTCTGCTTCAAAAAGAAAGCAATTAGGCTTTTGTTGTTGCAGTATATTATATTCCTTGAGCTTTATCTTTTAGTAACCCCAAACCTGATGCGATAAGGAAAATAACATGTTAAAGTGAAGCATTACAATCAACTCTATCCCAAGGAGTTTGCCTGTCTTGAAATTTCAATGTAAAAGAGTGTAGCTTTCTCATAGGCTGAGGATGCACACACACAAAAATACACACACAAAACACTTGGGCAAAACTTCTAATTTATATGGATCTTAATCTGCATGGGATGGACTGAATATTTTGGTCAAAATGCCTTTAATGCATTAAAAGGAAAACAGCAAAGGCCTTATAATCCAAAATTTTATTATCCCGTATTGGTCAACTACACTTAAAGGGGAAACTTGTAAGCATGGTGCAATAACACTCTCTCACTTGTATCCCCAGTAAATATTATACATTAGAGATTCTAATAAGCTATGACAGGTTTCCTCGTGACCCCCATTTGCTTTTTTGCAATCTGTTTTATTGCTTTTTTGCAATCTGTTTTATTGGATGTTATTATTTTAAACTAGGAATATTTCAGAACTGAACTCTTATAAAAATATTATCATTTGTCTGTTGTAGATCTTCCGTATGTCAATGTCGTTTAATGACCTTTAAGTTCTGTATTATGTGAGGGGTGGAAAACTAATATCGATGTTTACCTTTTCAACATTCTAATCCCTAGTTTGATGACACAAATCACTGTTTTCAGTCAATTCAGTAAATCTCACATCTTTCACTATAGGTGCAGGATTATCTTTAATTGCTTCTTCTCTGGTTGTTTTCATGACAGCTGCTTAAGAATAGTCTTTTAAAATGTCAGAAAATACCACATCTTACCCGTGACTCACATATCTCTTTATCAATGTACTGCAGTCTTCCCCAATCTGCCCTGTTTCTCCAACAATATGGCCTCCCCCAATAGGAAGTCCCAGCATGTTTTATAGGCATGAAATGAAATTAAGCCCCTCCCCCAAAATTAAGGCCTATATTAAAACATGCGAAATGGGGGGGAATGGTGGGGGGGCTTGCCGTTAGGAAGTACTTTTGTTGCACACCCGGATAGGGTGCTGCCTGCGTTGACCCCAATATGAAGTGCCCCACCAATGCTGAGGTCAACATCCAAGCCATCGCTGCCCGCCCGCCCGAAGATGCAAGGGGGGGAATTAAGTCCCCCCCGAAAAGACGGCCTAGCCATTTTTTCGGGGCTCAAAAAAAAATAAGACCCGGCCTTATTATATGAGAAACACGGTAGTATCAGGTTAAAACAAGATGGATTCCAAAATGGTTGGAAATTCTAGTATTTCTAGTCCCAACAAATGTGGGTAGCACTAGAATAGGATAAACTAGTCTTTGTCAATTTTATTCAACGTATTCATGTTACTCCACTACTCAAATCCATTCATTCTCCAATTTAGCAACTTCCTAAGCAATATAAGCAAGGATGACACACAAATTTGTGCGTTGCTCCATAGTTTTAAAGGGGCCGCCATGGCTCAGTGGTTAAAGACACTGAGCTTTTCAATCGCAAAGCTGACAACTGAAGTTCGAGCCCCAAGCACCATTCCACAGAGTGAGCTCCCATTTCTGACCCAGCTCCTGGCCACCTAGCAGTTTGAAAGCATGCACGTTTGTATCTTTGGCGTACAGCCAGGCTGGCCACATGACCACAGAAAATGTCTTTGGACGGTGCTGGTTCCCTTGGCCAAGAAATGGAGTGTCAGGGTTCCAAGTAATAGATCCATCAAAAGCAAACATTTCAAGGCAGGTGGATTCCAATAGTTTTATTGGAAATATCATATTAGCACATATCTGGTGAAAACCATTTCTGAGGGGTTCTCTTGGTTTTCACCTAATTAAAAGTAAAAGATTATTACAGATTATTAGCTGTGTCCCTTATGAAAACTATTTTGAAATTGTGATTTCCTGAGATTCCTAAATGTCTTCTCCTGAGAGCTAGAAAGATTGTATTTCTCTGATCTGGCTGGTCTCTTGAAGAGATATCTTTTTGCTCCATTTTTTTCCTAGGATTTTCCTAAACATTAGCATTGAACTCTATTCCTTTCGTGTTTGCCCTAGTTTTCTGTGACCGAAAAGGGGTCAAGTTGGGAAGAAAGGATGCTAACTTTAAGAGAGCCCCCTCAGATGGCTGATTTTTCGAAGTGCTTTCTTGATGCTGCGGTTGTTCACTGCATATGTGTATTAATTCCCTCATCATGTGAGATTTAATGAAGGGAAAATAAAACCTTTTGGTGAACTTTGAACCTCTCTCCATCTGAACCTGGTACTGTTGGGCCATTTAATCATTTCATTGAGCCATTTATCTCAGTGACACACCTCACAATCCCTGTTGTTAGGTGATTTGAGTAATGTGGCTACAGAAACAATCCTGAGCTTGGTTATCCTCCAGCTTTCTCTTCATAGCCTCCTCTACTTCTCCACTTTTACTTGAAATCAAATCGTTCTTAGGATGCTATCACAGGTTTGAACTACACAAATTTTTTGAGAAGGATTAAAAGGATTATTTCTTCTTGGGTAGGTTTCAAGGAGAGGTTTTAAAAACTTTATGAAATTAACTTGTAGAAAACGAGTCACCCTGTGTAGAAAACTTCTCACAAAGAAATTGTTTTTTAATGAGTGCTACTAATTGAAAACTTAATGATGAGGTGCTCATTTTAATGAAGCTTGCAGTATGTTTCTGATGAGCCGTGCAGTATGTTTTTTTGCCCAAAGAATGTTTATCTCATTTAATACTCCCAACTTAGGCAGTTGTTGGGGTGAGGGAATCTAGGGAATGTGTAAATTCATAGTTACGCTCCCAATCATGAATCCTGCCTTGAGGTGCTCAGACAACCATAGAATAGCAACAGTTCCTTGAGTTTTTGTTTAAAAATCAAATATATTTTTTGTCCCATGGTTGCAGAAGAAAACTTGTGAGGGGGGAGAATTGTACAGTATTTTTGTAACTGAATTAGTAGTAGTGATTAGAATGAGCAGTTACACCTTAATGCGCAGAACTTCTTGATTTATGACTGTTGCAGGATCCTCGTGGTCATGTGATCAAAATTCAGGCTTTTGGCAACAGGAAGGTATCTACAACTGTTAGAACTTTTAGGGTTATGTGATCACCGTTTGCAACTTGCCCAGGAAGCACCCAATAAGCAAAGTCATAGGGTAAAAATGGGGAAAACCAGAATCACTTAACAATTGTGTGATTCACTTGACTGAAGTGATTTGCTTAATGACCGTAGCAAAACCGGTCAGCTAAAAGACCACATAATTGCATCACTTAATGGAAGTTCTGGCCCAAATTGTGATTGTAAGTTGAGAACCATCTAATGCCAAATCCAATCGAAACATCTGACAGGTTGAAACCATGAAAAATAACAGCAAAAGGCAGCTTTACTTGGAACAGCTTACATCCTGCGATGATACCTTTAAAACAAAAAAACAACTTCTGCCTATCCCAGGTCTAGGGAAAGGACTTGATAGGTGGGTTAAAATGCCAAATCCTGTCTAAACATCTGTTCAACCAATCATAATGTTTTCAATTTTGACCAATTTTGCAACTGTGAAACTATTGCTATTATTATTATTTTATTTTATTTATTAAACTTGCTGTCCATCTTGCCTAAAGGTGACTCTAGGCAGCTTATAATCAGAAAAACCCACCATATAAAACATTAAAACAATAAATAGAAACACTAAATTTAAAATTCACAAAGATGGGAAGGAAGGGAGCAAGATGTACGTGGGAAGGAGACATAGTTTTAATCCAGAATGACATGCCCCCATTGGGTCTGGGACAGTTGGCCAGAACCAGGTCTTCAGACTCTTTTGGAAGGTCAAAAGGGTGGGTACCGATCTCACCTCAAGAGGCATGATGTTTCAGGGCATGGGATCCATGGCAGAAAGGGCTTTTATCCTGTCCCCGTCCGTCCCTCCTCCCCTGCCAGAATTCCTTGACCAACAAAGTCCTTAGCATGTCCCTTCTATTCGTGTGTGCATTGGTGGGCAAATCCCATTGGGACAGGATGGTTCCTTAGATAACTTGGACCCATACCATGAAGGGCTTTAAAGGTAAGAACCAACATTTTGAATTGGACTCGGAAGCAAAGTAGCAACCAGTGCAGCTCGCAGAACAGTGGTGTAACATGGGGCCACCCTAGGAGCCCCAAGAACTGTCTCTGCAGCTACATACTGTGCCAGCTGTAGCTTCTGAATACTCTTTAAAGGTATGCCCATGTAGAGTGTGTTGCAATGGTCCCACGTGTGAGATGACCAGAGCTTGAGTGATTTTTAGTCTTTATTTACCTCCAAGAGTATCCATGCAAGGCAAGCTTCTACATAACTGACTAAAAATTCTGTATGTGCTATCTTAAAATAGGCTATAGGTTTTATTGGGATTGTTCTGGGACTTTTAGTGTACCCTTGAGCATTATGCATTTTGATCACTGCTGCCTTGGTACAAAATTAACATCTGCACATACCCTTTTTCATTTAAGCCTACAGCTTTTATAAGTGATGAAAGATTAATAAAGAGTCAACGGTGGAAATCACCCTCGCCTCTTTGGCTAGTACCGGGAGAAATAATAATTGACTGATTTTTCAAGTGTATTAAGTTATTCCAAGTTACATGTTTCTCCTATGATACTATTTTTATTCATCTGTTATGCCTTTTCTGGTTTTTCCTCTCTGTTCCAGATTCAGTAAGCTGAGGAGCTTAAACCTTTCCAACAATCATTTAGGAGATTTCCCTTTGGCGATGTGCAGCATTCCAACCTTAACGGAGCTCAATGTGTCCTGCAATGCACTCAGAAGTATACCAGCAGCTGTTGGAGATATGAACAAGTAGGTCTATACCAAAGATGGTAAAAGCAGTTTGAATCTCAGGCATGGCAGCTTTCCCCAGTGGTTTTCAAACTGTGTTTGGTTGTGGAGAAAACGATATGGCCTGTGCCTACAGAAGGCTTAGTGGGTTTCTCCCATAAAGAGAACCACTCTAGAGAGAATGTGAAGACTGATTGGGAGCTTAGTTGAGGAGCAGGAACACCTGGAATGGGTCCTGCTGAATGATCATCTTTCTTCCCAGCTCTGCAACCTGTCCTATCTCATAAAAAGGCTGGAGTGGAGATCCTTGATCTAGACCAGGGGTGTCAAACTTGGCAACGCACTGACCGGATGCATCATGCACAGGCCATGCCTATCCCAGTTCTGCAAAGGCAAAAGAAGTCGTGATACATCATGTGACGTAATCGAATTTGATACCCTTGATCTAGACCAGGGGTGTCCAACCTTGGCAACTTTAAGACTTGTGGACTTCAACTCCCAGAATTCCTCAGCCAGCAAACACCCCTGATCTAGACCTTCATCTTGAGCCTGATATTGAAAAGCAATCTGAATCATAACATAAATGATTGATTAATGACCTAAAGTTTTCACAAGTGATTTTTTTTTTTAAAAAAAAATATTCTTCCTTCTTATCAAAAGTTTACAGACCTTCTTGTTGGATGGAAACTTTCTCCAGAGCCTTCCGGCTGAGTTGGAAAGGATGCATCAGCTTAGTTATTTAGGCCTCTCTTTCAATGAATTCGGTGACATTCCTGAAGTCCTGGAGAAACTGACTGCCATGGACAAACTCTGCATGTCTGGAAATTGTATGGAGACACTAAATTTGCCAATACTAAGGAAAATGCCACACATAAAACATATAGATCTAAGGTAAGTATTCATCTCTGAGAAAAAGGATATGTATCAAATGTTAAATGACTATTTTAATTAATGGTGGCAAGCCAAGATGGATTTATGTTTTGTAAAAAAAAGTTATTTTCAAGATACTAGTTCTGATTAGTATATACTTTGAAACATATGAACTAAACTTTCCAGCCAGTGTATTCCTTGCCAATTACTGTACCTTGTTAGTTTCCTTGCTTTTTTATTCATATGATTTCAGCTGATTTTTTAATTCAATTCATCACTTTATGACAAGAACTTGCTGTTATTAAACGGTCTGTACTTTCAATTGAGAAATGTATTAAGCAGAAATATTTACTTTTTGAATTGAGTCTTACTGACTTATTTAGTTAGCTATTAATTCACCTGGGTTGTTTTTCCTTTCCTTTGATGACAGATTTGTCATGACGAATTGGTTCTGTGGGAATTCTCATTATTAGCCAAAGCTTTAGACTACCTTACCTTTTCTTTGACTTCCAAATAGGCTTAGAAATTCATTCTGACCTCTGACTAGGGACAATTGGAAAGATTGTTGAAAACTTTGGAAAAGATGAGAAAAGAGAAGGCTAATGTAGCTCATTGTTAAAATATTATTTCATACTATTGTTAAAATGTAATTATTATGCAGCTCCTTATTAGTTTTTAAATGTGTTTAGTGGAAATTTGTAAAGAATCAGAAACTCAGAACTTTTCAGAACATAGATATGATAACAGACCAGGCAGTTCTCCCTTATTCATGTTTGTGTAAGACCTCTTTCCTGTTATATTATTTTAATTTAATTTTGAGGGAATGGTTATACACGCAGTGGCAGTTTTGAACTTGAAATAATTGGAGCTATATTAATTTGCCCAAAATTTGTCAGTAAGATTGGACTGAATCATTTTATTTCCACAATTTTTGCTGAAGTGCTACAATTTGTTTTTCTGGTTGCAGGAATAACCTGCTTCTTAAAGCGCCATTAACTCTTTTTTACTAGTGGGTATTGATTTCATAAAGAAGACATGTGTTACAATTTTTTTTAAAAAAGCAATTTTTAAAAATACGATACAATTGTTTTCTTAGTTTTTTATAACTTTTCTTTTTATCCCAAAGCAGTGTTTTGATTAGACAATTTAGTCATCCACTGTGTTTGTTTAGCACTGAGAATTAAAATTCAGAGAAATTTCAGGTGGCCAGTTTGATGGCTTTCTGCAAATAATTTTTATTTATGTAAAAAGTCACAAGTTCTCTTTGCTTGTTTGTTTGGAGTTCAGTATGAACTGCTTTGTCTGATATGATCTGTCCTACTCTTTCAGCAATGAGCTTTGGATCATGATATTGTCACTATATACATGCAGTCATGTGAAAAAGAAAGTACACATTCTGAGTTCTATGGTTTTATGTATCAGGACATAGTAAAAATCAACTGGTGCTTAACAATTCTTAAAAGTAGGTAAATACAACCTCAGATACAACATATGACATATGACATCATTTATTTTTTTTAAAAAGCCATGCTAAGGACCAGATTATTTTTACCATATCCTAATAAATAAAATTATAGAACTCAAAGCGGGTGTACTTTATTTTTAAGATAACTGTATATTCACACAGTGCTTTGCCAACAATAGAAAACTTGAATGTTATTCATTCTCTTTACTCTATTTGCCATTTTTTACTTTAAAGGAACTTATAATAATGTTTTAAATTCTATACATATTGGCATTTTCTGATGAAATTCCTAAAGTTGATGTGGAGTTGTTGTGAATATGGATAATCTCTATTGAATCATCAAAACTCTATTGAATCATCAAAACTTTGTTAATGTGCCTTCATATGCCAGTAATGTTCAACAGATATTAATTCCATACATTTTTGTATTGAGACAAGTTAGAAAGCCATCACTTTACTATAGTCCTTAAAATCATTATGACAAAAAATGATAAACACTAAAGATGCATTTGAGAGACTTGATAATTTGCCTTGGAACATTAAAGTGAGCATTGGATAATTAATTGGGGAGGGCATTTGACTTGGATGGTATTAAAAATAATTGGGCATTAGTATAACTAGAAAAATTGAACTTGGTCTTTTTGGCCAAGGATACGTGGAACTGATAAATTAAAAGCCAAATTTTGTTTTCCAGCCTTCTAAAAAAAAAAGAGGCTAAATAACTGATCCCAGCTCTTTTTTCTTTCCTTCCCATTTCTATCCCAGGTTAAATGTGATCAGAAGATTGATGGGAGATGAGAGTGACTTCCTACAGCATGTGACTCAGGTTGATCTTCGGGATAATAAGCTCGGAGAGTTAGATGCAACCATCTTCAATAACATTGAAATACTGCACTGTGAAAGAAACCAGCTGGTAACCCTCAAAATCAGTGGATACTTACTTAAAGCTCTTTATGCCACTTCAAATGGTATGTTTACTTTGAAGGTAGTTCAAATAGGAATTGATATTCCTAGCCTATTCTTCTTGCACTGGATTTATATGCAATATTAAGTTGTGGATGAATCCAGTCCTTAACCATCTGGCTTTACATAAAACATTTATCAGCAGAATTTTGGAAGCTTGTAGAGTGGTGCTTACAGGCCCTTTTGGAGTGTTGTAAAGTGTAAATCCTTGGAATTTGAATGCAAGTTTTAAATCTCCCAGAGTGTCTCACAAATCTATATATTCTTTGTGAGATAAAAGAAAGTGACCGGCCTGCTGTAGAGACCTATATAAATTTTATACAAGTAGTCCTTATGACCACAATTGGAATTGGAATTTTGGTCACTAAGTGATGTGGTTATTAATTATATCGTCATGTGACCAGACCCAATTTTACTACTATTTTCCCTGTGTCATTAAGCAAATCACTGCTGATGTTAAGTGAATCACACAATTGCTTAACTGTCATTAAGCAAATCCAGTTTCCCCAATTGACTTTGCTTGTCGGAAACCAGCTGGGAAGGTCGTAACCACAGATAATGCAACCGTTGTATATCTTAAGCTGGTTGCCAAGTTCCTAAATTGAGATCATGTGATTGCAGGGATGCTACAGTGATCGTAACTTCAAGGACGTGTTGTGAGTTTTAACAAGACTTGTTAAAGAAATGATCATAAATCAAGGACTACCTATTCCATGGAATAATAATATTCTAATCTACAGATTTGGTTAATTGAAGTTGAGAGGGCACATTATCAGTTCTTTTTCATTAGAGTCCTTAATATTTCCCTATGTTCCATTTATATTGATACCACAGGTTCATGTTGCTAGCCACTTTGTGGGTGGGGTGTCCATTTCCACTTTCTTGTTCTCTTTTTCCACTTTTTGAAAGTAATCTATTTCTTTCACCAGCCAGTTCAGCTTCTTTGAAAAGAGTTATGTAATGGTATTTAGAAAGGCTCCGGACAACGGTCAGACTGCATAATTCCAACCTGATAGTCAGTGGGAAAAGAGGTTCAGAAGAGACCCTCCCTAGTTTCCTAAGCTGTAAAGGAGGAGAATTGTACTTTTACTGCCAAGAGTCTGTTAATGTAGCTTTACCCTAAAATAGATTTAGCACATCTGTTTCCTATCTGGCCTGCCTAGTAAGGCTGACAGCTTCAGAGGACTCCTGCACTGAATACATAGAAGGAGAAGTGCTTCCATTGCTAGTAGCTAGTTAAGCAGCATCGATCTGCACAATACTTTTTTCCCATGGAGTTTAGCAACGCATACAGAGAGTTTTCTCATGCTAGCAATATACTCTGCTAAGGGGCCCATTCAGCAGAAGCCAAGGGAGAACTTCTAGATTTCTAGACTTTGAATTGATCTGAAACAGCCCCAGTATTTTATTTTCCTTTTATCTTCCTGTTAACAAAAGATTGATTCTCTGACTCCTTTTTCCCACCTATCTTTATCCTTTCACATTCATTTTGAGAGCTCCAAGGTTTGCCACTGTTTCGTTGCTGACAGTTTATCGCTGATGTTTAAAATGATTAGGACCAAATCAGCAACTGATGTGACTTATGAGTACAGTGGCCATATTTCCTTGGGGAAAAAATGAAGGATAAGCCAGAAAAAGGGGCAAATTTGAATGAGGTTCATAAAGATAAAAATGTCATTGTTTATAACTTTGCTTTACAAAGGAAAATTCAAAGAAAATCAAGAAAACCTTTACAAAACCCATATTTAACCAAAATATCTAAAATCAGTGTATTTAAATTTATTTTAAAAAGACAATTTAGTTTCTATATTTTTCACATGAACATGAAAGATTCTGCATTAAGTAGTATCATTTATTCAATAAATGCTACTAAAATAAAGAGCAAAAGTGATTTTTTGAAAAATAAATGTAAAGGACAGCTTTATGAAATTCTTTATAATAAGAGGTTTATGGTCACTGTACTGATGAGTGACAGTGCTGAGAAGCTGATTCAGAACAATGATACATGCTTGTCTTTTGAATAATATTTCAGGCCCTTTTGTGTGTGTTTTTTTGCTGAAAGCAAACAGCAGGATACAGCTGGAAAAGTTACTAAATTTACTTCAAATTTAAATTTGGGTCAAACATGTTATATCTTGGGGAAAAAATTCCCCACAGTTTGTGTACATTATGCATATTACTGTTTTGTATAATATTACTACTAGTAGGAGGGGGAAAGATTTCCATCAAATCTTGAAGCTCTCTTTAGTTGGAAATCCTGATTGGTTAGTTGAAATACGTACTTATGCTGTGCAACAGTAGTTCATTTCTCCTGCTATTTTTTTTACTTCCCTAATCATTGATCTAGAGGTAAATCCTAACTTCATGGCCTGTGTTGTGATTGATTCACAGCCGATCATTCCCTGACTGATTCTTTTAAAAATCCTCTGATTTTATATCATCTGCCTCCATCTCCAATACACCTAACATACAGTTGGGCAGATTGCAAACTGGGTAGTAGCAAAAATCAGGCTTTTTGAAATAGTCATTTTTACAGTAGCTAGACTAGAGGTCTCCAAACTTGGCAACTTTAAGACTTGTGGACTTAAATTCCCAGAATTCCTCAGCCAGCATAGTCCTGAGCTAGATGAATGGATGAGCTGCAACTGTGAAAGATAATTATAGATTAGTGCACAAAAACGGTTACAGCTACTACTCCTGATAAAGGCTTGACATGGGAGTCATGACATTTCAGTGTCTAGAAGTAAACATAGTACAGGTAGTCCTCCACTTACAACAGTTCATGTAGTGACGGTTCAAAGTTATCAAGTGAGAGATTATTGATTTATCCAGAGGGCTCAATTCTTACAAAAGAGATGAGTTTGTGCCTGGATAGTATTGCAAAATGCAGACTCTGCAAATGAAGGGTTGTATGATTGAATGCACCTCCATTTCCCTAACAACAACACAAAAAAACCCACTTGTCAAGAGTGCTAGCTGTTGGGAGAAGGATATAGCTCAAAATCAAGGGCTGAATAACATCAGAATGCCATTTTCTTTCTGCCTGTCTGCAGTGCCCAGCTTCACCCCATGTATTTCTCTCTAATGACTACTAGGAGAAAGTTTTCTTGTTCTTGCCTGACATTTGACCATTTAGAGAAGCTTTTTAAAATGTAGCCAGAGGTTTTTTGGGTGTCATCACTGGATTAAATCTACTGAAGCTAATTTTCTATGTGAAGTGATTTTCTTTCCAGCTTAGTTATGTGCACGTCTCCTGTGCATGCGTCCCATCCCCCACACACGTATCTTGTCCTGTGCATGTGCCCCACGTCCCCTGCACATGTGCCCCACCCCCTTGCGTGTTTGGCAGAGACCTGAAGACCAGCTGGCTGGTGGGAGGCGCATGCATGCACGCGTAGCAGAGCTGAGCTGAGGCGACTGCTCGCGTACCTACAGTGAGGGCTCTGCATGCCACCTCTGGCATGGGCGCCATAGGTTCATCATCACAGAGCTATACCAACTATAGCATTTGTGAAGTGATAAAACCATAATACAGTTTTTCTTACTGCTCGGAGATATATCCTAGAGCTCTTGGGAAGAAAGATATTTAATATACTCCCAAAACACACACTATGAATTACAGTTGTTAAAGCAAAATTATAATTTACAAAATAAAGGATGAATACTTTTTTTTTTTTTTTTACAACAGAGCCATACTTTATATAAGGGCAAATAAGAAAATCCCATCTATCTCAATAAAATGTCTTCTAATGTTAAAAGGTTTATTTTTACTAGATTCATATTTGCTGTCTTTAACTGTTCATTTGCTTCAGTATGTGATCCAGTGTACATAGCAGGTAGTCCTCAACTTATACTCACAGTTGAGCCCAAATTTTTTGTTGCTAGGTGAGACATTTGTTAAATGAATTTTACCCCATTTTATGACCTTTCTGGCCACAGTTAAGTGAATCACTGCAGTGGTTAAATTAGTAACATGGTTGTTAAGTGAATCTGGCTTTCCCATTGACTTTGCTTGTCAGAAGGTCGCAAAAGGAGATCACATGATCCAGGGACACTGCAGCCGTCATAAATATGAGTCAATTGCCAAGCGCCTGAATTTTGATCACGTGTCCATAGGGATGCTGCTGCCGGCTGTAAGTGTGAAAGTATGAAAAACATAAGTGTGAAAAGCAGTCATAAGTTACTTTTTTCAGTGCTGTTGTAACTTTGAATGGTTGCTAAATGAACTGTTGTAAATTGAGGACTACTACTTGTATTTGGTCCTGCACGCTGTGATTTGTATTATTGTTTCAATAAACCGGGACAACATGAGGTGGTCGACTTTTAGTAGCTTGAAATTATATTTATCTTTGCAATACAATATTTGTCTTTCTTTTCCAGAACTTGTTCACCTTGATGTGTATCCAGTTCCAAATTATCTAACTTATTTGGATGTTTCTAGGTAAGCATATCTTTGAAAGATACTGGTTTTGAATGTTATTAGTGGAAACATGAGAAGAAACTGGAGCACTTAAAGACTATTAATCAAGTGATCTCTTTGACTGAAGAGATTACGTGAATTTTCCTGGGACCCTGGAATATCGTATATAACTTATTTGGTCTGCTGTATTTCTTAGAAGAGAGATTGTCACAAGTGTTTCTGTATAAACTTGAGTGATTTTTAATACAGTCTCAACGCATTGAATCCTCTTTTCTGCATTACACTTACTTCTGATTTGTTGAGCTGCTAAGCAGATGCCACAACTTTGAACCCAGTATCCATATTACCACATAAGTAATTAGATTTTCTTCTTACTGTTCAGAGTAGAAAGCATGTTAATAATATGGCCCTGAGAGTTAAGTTGTTAAGAAGATTTTGCAAGTTGTGTGATTTCATATGAAACTGCCAATTTTTCTAAATTGCATTGTGTTTAACTCTGGGGTTTTATCGCTTTAGTATAGGGATATTACAAACCCTGCCCTACTAATCTTTGATGTAGGAGCTTATTGGGTGAAAGAAAAATCTCACTCTCCCATCTCCCATGATGTTGACTAAGGTAGTCTTTGCTTAATATCCATTTGTTCAATGACTGTTTGAAATTACGATTGGCACAAAGAGACTTACGATCAGTCCTCAAAAGTTCCTGCCTCCTGCAGTCACATGAACAAAATTTGGGCCCACTTGGGCCACCTTTTGGTCCTCTGCCCACCTGCTGCGGCCAGCTGTCCCCACTGCTACACGGCGACCCATTACTGCACTGGATAAGACCTTATTTACACTGCCATCTTTCACACTGATGCCAATGGGGCCTCTCCAACATCCCAGCCAGGGCCTTCTTTCATGAAATAAGATCCCTGGTTAGAAGAGTCCCCCCTTTTGTGCCAGTACAGTGACCTTCTTTCATGTACCTGTCTTCCAAAATCTCATGGGAAGGCCATACCACATTTAGATAAGGAGTGGTGCAGCCTCAGGAAACAGGCATGGCATGGCCAGTAGCTGCCTCACGAAAGGCCAGGCGCACCTCAGCAGTAGTATGAAGAAGACAATGAAGATCGTTTTGGAGCAACAAGGTTGGGCAAGGGCAGCAGGGCCAGCAGGCAAGGCTGTCAGAGGCAGCAGAGTAGGTGGCTAAGAGGACAGTGATGGGGGGAAGATAGGCAGGTGAAGAGGGTTAAAGAGGAGGCAGTCCTATACCTTACCAATGCTCAATGTTGGAAGGGACCAAAGCTGGAAGTGGCTTGGATGGGGGTGGATTCTCAGCTAACAATTTGTTTAATGATAGCAACCAGGACCGCCAGAATTGATGTTGCTAAACAACGTGGTCAGGTGACATCAAGTTTTACAAGCACATCGCTTAGCAAATGCAAATTCTAGTACCAATTCCCATCATAACCCAAGTACTATCTGTAATACAGATGTCAACATGTTTTACATATACAGTATATGCAGCTGGTGCCATGACTTACAAGAAAATGATCCTGGGACATTTCTAAGCCCACATTATGTTCCTGCGGCTTGCTACTACTTCCTAAACGTCAGTGAATTGTATGCTTCAGTCTGTTCCAGAGAGACTGAAGCAAAAGTGACAGAGTGGGAATAATAGATATTTTTTAAAATAGCTGCTGAATGAGAAAATGTGCATACTTACATACTGCACACAATGTTTTATCCATTAGGGTGGTTTTGAAATGTTCCATTATCTGTCTGTCTGTCTGTCTGCCTGTCTGTCTGTCTATCTATCTGTCTATCTATCTATATCTTCGCTAAAGGTGCCGTCTTCATATAAATTGGCATCAGGGATTATTTTTGTGGTTTAACACATAATATTATGTGGCAAGGTTGGTTAATTCAAGATTTTAAGGGTTATTCCATATGCTTCATGGTAATCCATGTTTGCCATTCTATAAGCATGTCACATGTAGCTGCAGTCAATCCCAGCTGCCTAAGTGCTGTGTGCTGCAGCTGACAGGGCATCTAATATTTCTGTACATTTTAAACCACGTGTGATAAAATATGTAAACATTCCTTAATCATATTGTCATCTTTTTTTTCTCCATTTGTCTTCCTTCTGTGCAGAAATCACTTGGAGAGCCTTCCAGAATGGGTTTGTGATAGCCGAAAGTTAGAAGTACTGGATCTGGGCCACAACCACATACGTGAACTTCCCGCTAGGTGGGTCCTACCTTTAAAACAACCAGAAAAAGTATGCAAAGTAGTGAATTGTTTGTATTGGATTAGTTTCTAGCTTGCTTAGTGAGAACTGTGTTCCATGTGGTTTTTTCTTTTTCTCCTTTCTCTTTTGTTTCATGTTTTTTTCATGGAGTGTCATTGAGCCAGAACAGTTTTCTTTATGCAGATGTAAACAAAGCAATCTCTCAAATTTCCAAGCAGAAGTTCTAAAGAAGGTCATGCATCTTTCCCCAACCTCAAGAGCATCAATTTTTTTTAGATATAATGCTTGTGTAGTCTGTCATAAAATATACTTTTGATTTCAGGATATTATTGAAAGTTCAATATAATTTCCAAAGAAAACATGGGTGACCAATTATCCTCTTAGAAAAATATCTGGAGGGATATTTGCATTTGAAAAATTTCTACTACACAGGTAGTCCTCGACTTACAACAAATTGCTTAGTGATTTTTTGAAGTTACGATGGACCCCTCAGAAAATACTTACAACCTGGTTCCAAAGTTCTCATGGCCACCTTGTCCTCCTCTGATCATGTTGCCACATGTTGGTTTGCTCAGTACACATTTACAGCTGTTTATGGCATCTTGCAATAATGTGAGCACAATTTTTGACATTTTTGCCAAAAACTTATGTTTGCTCCCCGTTTGCAACAAAAGCGCCCCTTAATGACTATGGCATTCACTTCAAGACTGGAGATTTGCTTAACAGTTGCTGCAAAAAAGGTAGTAAAGTTGAGTCAGTTGCAATCGTCACAGTAAGGGTCCATCACAGTCATAAGTTAAGGACTACCTATGTGGAAAAGTACAGCCAGTCCTCGACTTACAACCACAAGTGAGCACAAAATTTCTGTTGTTAAGTGAAACATCTGTTAAGTGAGTTCTGCCCCATTTTTACGACCTTGCTTGCCACAGTTGTTAAGTGAATCACTGCACTTGGCAAGTTAGTAACCCGGTTGTTAAGTGAATCTGGCTTCCCAATTGACTTTGCTTGTCAGGAGGTCACAAAAGGGGATCACAGGACACTGGGACACATCAACAGCCATAAGTATGAACCAGTTGCCAAGCATCTGAATTTTGATTACATGATCATGGGGATGCTTCAAAGGTTCCAACTCTGAAAAACTGTTATATGTCACACCTTTCAGTGCTGTTGCAATTTTGCAATGTCATTAAGTGAACTTTTTGTAAGTCGACGACTACCTGTACATTGATTCCTCCCCCTTTATTTTTAATTAATAGATTCATTCTCACCGTGACTGGTTTGGCTACATTTGGACCCCCATCTCATAATGTTGTTGAAGTTTTTCTCAGCTTCTCTGAAATAGCTTGCTTTAATTAGAGCTGTAAGTTTTACTGCTATTCGTATGTTTTAAGGTTATTTTGCAATATCAGCTTGCGAAAATTACTTGCCGGACACAATCAGTTGGCAAGGCTACCAGAGAGGATTGAACGAACTCATGTGGAGGTCCTGGATGTGCAACACAACCAACTTGTGGAGCTGCCATCTAATCTGCTGCTAAAAGCTGACAGGTAATCCAAAAATCCACCAAGAGAATTGAACAGTATAAACATAATTTCCAAGTTGTGTAACTTCTGTGGTTAATTGAAATGTGGGTTTTTTTTTATTAAAAAAACTGAAGTAAATAACATCAGGCAATACACTCTTAATCCCTCAAACTTTTATTTATGGAGAGTGAAATAGCAAAATTGACCATCCCTTAAAGTTGTTTTTTTTAATAATATCTTTATTAAAATTTCAACATCTGCATTAAAATTCAAAGTAACGTGAAAGGAAAAAGAATGACAAAGCACATTAAAAGTCCCAAAGAAAATACAACTGCCAAATATAACAAAGGTGACTCCAACTTTCTTTTATAGAGATATTAATCATCTATCTCTGTTTAAAGAATACCAATCTATACAATATATTATAATACTAATAGTTAACTTAGTAAAAGATAGTATTCATAAAATGTTCTTTTCTTAATTTTATTTTAAAAATAGCAAGTTATCAAATATATTTAGAACATTACAACATTTCTGGAGCCAGATGCAATCTAGTGTTCAAACCCCTAAGTAAAAACGGATTCCTTAAAGGCTTAAAATAAGCCTCTTTCCGTTGGCTCATTCAGTTACAATAGGGGAAGGTTTGCTCTTTATGATTCTGAATTTTTCCTTTTGCAGAATCAGGATAAATCAATTTCTCCTTCACTGTATACATTTATTTTATAGGAATCTTTAGGCATTACCTCCTAAAGTAATTTCGTTTCTTGAAAATGATCAAAAGCGCTCCAGGCCTTCATGCTTACAAAGTTGGAAGGGACTTTGGAGGTCCTCTAGTCCAGTGGTCGCCAACCAGCAGCCTGGAGACCAGTGGTGGTCTGTGAGAAAATTTTGATGGTCCGCAGAGAAATGTTACCCCCAAAGCACTTAATCCAGGCTGTGCAGGAACACAAGGTTACCCACATGGCCCGCAGGAACACAAGGCTTGCATCACTTGCATTGCGAACAACACGAGGTAGTGAGGGGAGGGGGGAAAGGGCGGAGGGGAGAACTTGCCCCACGCACCCCGCGCACCTTGCCTAACCACCGGGCTGCTTCTTTCCGCTTCTTTCTTCTTATGCTTTTGGCTGCATGCAAGGAAAGCAGCAAAAGTCTTTCTTTCTCTCCCCCAAACCTTGCCAGAAATGAGTCTTTGGGACCCTGCAAGGCATCCTCCTCCAAGAGGCTGCTCTGGAGCGACAAGTCTCACAAAGAGTTGGGGGGAGAGAAAGAAAGACTTCTGCTGCTTCTGCTGCTTTCCTTGCATGAAGCTAAAAGTCTCTCTCTGTCTCTCTCTTTATCTCTCTCTCTCCCTCCCTCCTCCCTCCTCTCTCCCCCCCCCACCCTGGGAACGGAGCTGGAGACGGTATTCTGCGATCCCAAATAAAGAATGATTGATCTGTAGGAAAACAGGGTGTGGAATTTTCCTGCAGGCTTTTTTGGGGATTTTCCCAGGGTCTCTGGTCCACGGGATTTAAAATTATGAATTTGTTATTCCCTGAGGTCCAAAAGGTTAGCAACCCCTGTTCTAGTCCAATCCCCTTCCCAAGCAGGAAATCCTGTAGAATTCCAGACAAATGGCTGTCAAATCTCTTCTTAAAAACTTCAAGAGTTGGAGCACCCACAACTTCTGAAGGCACGCCATTCCACTGATTAATTGTTCTTCCTGTCAGGAAATTTCTTCTTAATTCTAGGTTGGATCTCTCTGTGATACGTTTCCATCCATTACTTCTTGATACTCTATATTCAGAAATTTCAGGAATTATAAAATGATCAATTAATCCATAGACTGAGTTGCTTTTTAATTGTAGCCTGCAGCTCTAAAATTATGGAATCAAAGAAATTTAGAAGCCTTTTAATTTGATGTTCAATTTTTGTCAGCTTTTGAGCTACCTGTTGAAAGAATAAATGTTCTATCCTGTTAGTTCAACTTAAAATTGATCTTTCTACAGTTAAAGATTTCAAGAGGAAGAAACATCAGCTTTTTTATTTTAAAGCACATTCTTTCCAAACATTTCATTTTTTTCCACAACATTTTCAAGGAGGATTGAAGTTAACTGAAATATATTTTTCATGGATCTTAAGGATTTATGCTTGAGATGTTATGATTGTGAGTTATAGGTAGAGGTGTTTTGAAGACTAGGATTACTCATAGTAGGGTTGACTTCATTTTTTGTTACTTCTTAAACAGCATCATTAGTGCCTATGTGGGAATATGCCATCTATCCCTTGGGCCATTTATTTGTAGAGCAGATGGCTAAAATCTAGATGTTAAATTAAATTATTTTGTTGTTCTGTAGCTGGAAGAGAGGATGTAAGAGAAGAGAAGACTAATATTTATGGCTTCTAAGTGACTTTGCAGCCTGTCACTGTACAGACAACACTCAAGGTGGTTTAAAATATAGTATTGTCCTTTGCCCATGCAAATTTCCTAAAATTTCCATACTTTCCAGGATCTACTCCATTGTAATCTGTGGTATTGATTATTAAGATTTCTTGACCTTTTTTTAGTTTTTGCATTCAGGATCTAAAAGGAAATGTACATCAAATATACAATAATATTTCCAGACTCTACACATTTAAAATAAAGGCATATGATAGTCTCTATTACCATCATCCTGAAATTATTGTGTTCAGCAAATCGTCTTTGGAGTTGTTAATTAGCAATTCTCATTCGGTTCTCACTGAATGGACAAATACGCGGTCAGCATGCTTTTCATTCAGTGAAGTGAAATGTTTTTTACACATTTAGCAAAAATCTCCATGTTAGGGTGATGGAAATATCTCATCAGGGATCTACAGGCAACCAGCCTGCTTATCTGAAGCAGATGGTGTCCTGAAAATAGAGGATTTCTCTCCAGTAGTAGACAATTAGAAATGTATCTCATCTTCTCCACAATTTACTATTCCAACAGTTTTCTTTTAAGAAACAAAGACCAGTTTATTTCTATTTCTCTACTTAAGTCCAGTGATCAGATATAGTTGGTGGAAAACAGGTGCAGAGCAGCAAATGCTTAATTCTTTTTTTCTTCCTTTGCTTTCTTCCTAATTAATATTACCTATTGTTTCCCAAGCCACTTTTATTCCAATAGTATGTTTAGGTGGGTCACGCTTGCAACTGAAACCTGAGATTTGGATGGCCCCAACCTTTGTAAGCCCAAGGGGTCTACTGCTTTTAAAACTTTTTGAAGAATTTGTCCTTCTTAAACTTCTGATTGCATTATGGCAGCTGAGAATTTTGGAAATTAAACAAAGCAAAGCACTACTTAGGATCTAAGAAACTAAGCAGAACTGGCTGTTTACACTTTTTTTCCCCTCAGTAACATTATTTGTGTCTATTGAAACATTACTTATTTTCTTAATTTCTTATGTCTATAATAACTTCATTGCTTATGATTTTTGTTGATTGCTTTTACTTAATATCCTATTATGATTTATATTGATTGTTTATTTAATATCCTATCAGTAAATGTTGTGTCTTAGGATTTATGATTATTGTATTTCGTATTTTATGATTATGATCATGATTTATCATATGTTGCTATGTACATGGAAATCTTATGCACTGGAGACAAATTTCTTGTGTGTCCAGTTACACTTGGCCACACTCTCCTCCCCTCCCCTCCCTTCCTCTCCTCACTGCTTGTACCTGTTTTTGTTTATCAGTTCTCTTAAACAGATGAATAATTCAATAAGTGTGTATCAATCAGTCACTTAAAAGAAAGTGAAAATGCTTAACTAGAGAACCCTATTAAAATAGTGGTAAGCCAAGCAGAATAAAGCTGTTTTGGCTGCCCTGTTACATCCCTGGGATCTGTATCTGTATAGGAGGTTCCTGTCTCATATTTCCGTCAATTTATACTCTTTTTGATAGTAAGGCTACCTCTGATGAAGGTAGGAAAAAGGTTGAGCAATTTTAAACAAATTTCCAGCAATAGTGCTACTAAAACATTAAAAAGGTCATTGAAAATGTATACCTAAAGTTATCCCTAATAATTTTTTGCAGCTTAAGGTACTTGAATGCTTCTGCCAACAAACTGGAAATGTTACCTCCAGCTACTCTTTCAGAGGAGACCCATAGTATTTTACAAGAACTGTATTTGACCAACAATCACCTCACAGATAAAAGTGTCCCCTTGTTAACTGGTCATCCTCACCTGAAGATACTACATATGGCTTACAATCGCTTACAAAGCTTTCCCGCAAGGTAAAAAAGCATGGTAGTACTAATTCTCTTCTTAATCAAATATGTTTTGAGCCATTTATATGGTTAGAGGTTGTTAGATATCTCACTAAATGGTAGCTTCTTTTTGAGTAGATATAGTACTGACCCAGTGTGGACTTACTACCAAATGAGCAGCATACCAGAGTCTCATTATGTTGCTTCTTACATCCGTCTTTGAATGACATGCTAAACAAACTATGGATGAGGATAGCCATCATTTATAAACCATGTGCAATTATATGAAGAAGCATAACTTAAAAGAGTTCTGATGGATTATAACTTGTATTGAAAATGTCTTGCAGTGTATTTCAAGAAGATCAGGCTGAATTCAAATTTTGTTTATTCACTGGCAGAAATAGCAGTTGTTTGGATATATGGGCTGAACTCCGTTTAAGTTTATAGTGTAAAATTAGTATGCATTTAAAATAGATTTTGTCACAGAAAATAATCTATATTTATATATTTGTAAAACGTCTTTGGAAATTGAACATAGTTTTGGAGTTTATTTGGAGAAATTTGCTTCTCATCTTTCACTCAGGAAGCCCCAATTGTGAATTAATATAATCTTCCAGATTTAAGTTTAAATAACAAGGCATATCTTTTGTTTAGGATCAATGAATGTCAGGTTTGTCTGTTGGGAACTTTGTTTCATGGGCTACCTTAGAATCAGCATATTCGGCATGTCTAAAAAATTGAATGGCTTTGGAATCCAATTATTTTAGAAGACTAATGATAAGAAAAGTAACCAGAGGACCAAGATTATAATTGTAAAAAAGTTACTATCACAGGGATGGGAGAACCCTCATCCTCCATCTGTTATACAGTGAAGAATTACTCTACTTATATTTTTAAAAATATATAAGTTGTGTTTTCAGGAGTCTCACATGGAAGACTACTTACATATATTATCTGCTTATATAGTTATATATGTTTGCTCTTCCATGTTTTTCCACTGCCACTTCTTAAAATATAAAAATCTGAAACATTCTGAAGCATGTTATGAACTTACACATTAATTGATTTGTCTAATTATAAATATTCATACAAATGGCCATTTTTCCTTTTTTAGGTTTGCAAATAGTACCATTTTAAAATATCATAGAGGCAGTAGAGCAGACTTGTTCTCTGTCATTCGAAAGGGTCACATTAGAGCCGGTATGCAGAATTTGCAGGAAAACAGAAGGCGATCAAAATCAGGAAAAAGTAATATTGAAGGGAACAGATTGGAGACATTTACAAGAATACTGTACTAAACTGGTATCCTGGTACATTCCTTTACCTCTGAAACCAGTTCTGTCTAATTTCCTAAGTTCTTTTCAGCTTTAGGAATGCTAGAACCCCTGGCTAGAAACCATGAACCTTAAGATCATTATTACTCTCATTTTGAGATGAGTGACTGTAATTTTTCCAACGAAGCATTTAAGAAAGAAATAGAGATCAACAAATGAGCCCTTCCTTATCTCCAGGGCTATTACCAACTATGAAGAAATTTGCTGTTTTCTGCAATGGACATATCAATTGTCACATATTATTTTGTACAAGCCAAGCATGGAAAGGCTTCAGGATACTGGTAGACCTCAACTTACGACCACAATTGAGCCTAAAATTTAGATTTCTAAGTGAAACATTTGCTAAGTAAATTTTCCCCTATTTTACAACCTTTCTTGCCACAGTTCTTAAGTCAATCGCTGCAGTTGTTAAGTTAGTAACCTGGACATTAAGTGAATCTGGCTTCCCCATTGACTTTGCTTATCAGAAGGTCACAATGACAATCACGTGATCCTGGAAAATGGCAACCGTCATAAATATGAGTCAGTTGCCAAGTGTCAGAAGGAAGGAAGAAAAGGAAGGAGGGAGGGAGGGAGAGAGGGGGGGGATCTCAGGGAAGTCCTGCCTTAGCACTTGGCCACCACAAGTGCCCCCGACATGAGTCCCGGTTCATGCCCACCATGGCTATGCTTACCCCTGACCACACCCACCATGGCCATGGCCCCCCAGCCCTCCAAGGTCAAACACAACCCTGATGCAGCCCTCAATGAATCAAGTTTGACACCCCTGAATACTTTAGTTTTTATGCTCAAAATCTTTCTCTTTCCTTTTTGTGTAGTAAAATGGCCAAACTCGAAGAGTTGGAAGAAATTGACGTTAGTGGCAATAAGCTAAAATCCATTCCAACAACGATCATGAATTGTCGCCGCATGCATACTGTAATTGCACACTCCAATTGCATCGAAGTCTTTCCAGAAGTCATGCAGCTTGGCGAAATCAAGGTAGGGATTTCATAAGAATTCACCCCTAAAGCTACGTTTAGTTGCTTGGAGGTAATCATCCATTGTGTAGATAGAGCTTTTGTTTTTACATACCTCCAATTAGGGTAGCATTTTTCATGGATGTCTCATGTATTTAAATAGCAATAGTATTTAGATTTATATACCACTTCACAATGCTTTACAGCCTTCTCTAAGTGGTTTACAGAGTCAGTATGTTGCCTCTCAACAATCTAGGTCCTCATTTTACCGATCTCGGAGGGATGGAAAGCTGAGTCAACCTTGAGCCTGATGTGATGAAGTTACATTCTGTTCATGTTGTATAGAAAATCCCATGTTTTCCATTCAAAGAGAAAGATGGTTCCTGGAAGAGTTCAGAGCCCTGATAAATATTTGAAATATTGGTATTGTAACTGGAGCAGTGTGACACAGAGAAAGAAGCAGAAGGAGACAACAACATAAATACTGAAAGTTTTTGTAAAGTGAGATATCTTACATCAACACTTTAGGTAGCAATATAATTATTCCAACTTCCTTAAGATGTCAAGGCAACCTTTTGCTCTAAGTTAGCCATGTGAGATTGCATTACTTGTTTGATGCATTTCTATAACCAAATCATACATCTCTGGGGTTGAAAAAAAGGCTTCTGTGCATCACACTGTACCATCCCAAGATTTTTTTTTTTAAAAAAACTTTGCTAGGTTGACAGTGGTATTCATGCTGTTATCTTTCCAAATTGTGTTTCCAGTTCTTCGCTTTTTCATTTTTTTCTGGAAAACAATTGCCTTGTTACCTGAACATAATGCATAAATTAAAATTCAGTGAAATTCTCTGTTGTTTAAAACAAGTAATTTAAAAACTTTTGATAATTACTACTATTACTAATTACTCTCTTCTTCCCTTTCTGCCTATCACTGTACTTCCAATTTTATACCCAACTAGATATTTTAATGTCTTCAGCAGTATTCTAGTACATTGGCATGCATTATCTGTTCTTTTGTGACATCTTAAAATTTCGTTTGGTTTTCAGTGCAGCCTACATTTTGAAACGGATTTTAAATGCACCTTTAAATTCACAATATGGCTCTGTATTAAAGGCTGGTGGTGAATAATAACAGCTCTGTCAGAATTATGACAGTCCTTTTCCGCAATTGGCTTCTAATCTATGTATTTATAAAATTACTTTTAATTAAAACTCACTTAACACTGATGTGCTCCATTCGCTTAAGGATAATAATTACCCTCTTAACGCAGACAGTAGACAAATCACTATTCATTCTGCAACAAACATGGAGGTTATTTAATGAAGCATAAAGTTTAGAAAAGTTATAGAATTAAATTAGGCTCATTCAGAGTCATTAAATAGTGTGCAACCTTTCAGGATTTTCAGAAATCAGACAGAGAAGAAAGGAGAAAAAATACAGCTGTTAAACAGTCATGAACATTAGTTAGAATACCAGCTGCTGTCTGCTTTATTTTTAACATTTCATGACAGCATGTTAGATTAAAGGAGGATTACTTCAAGGAATGTTTATATTAAATAATCGTATCTTGTGTTTTGTTGAGACCATTGTAGAATTTGCGCAATTAAGGGCGGTGGAGGAGGAAGTTGACTTAATTCTCTTAAACATCAGGAAAAGGCTCTGCCACTTCAGACTGCAGCTCTATATTTATTGGGTTGCTCCCTCTGCTAAGTGACAATACTTAACCACCGGAAATGAGATATTAAGGAATAAAGCTTATTTTACATTCTTGATTTGTGCAATAATTTTCTCAATAGTGAAGTTCCCGAGTGGTGGAGCCTTCCATTATCAGTGTACCCACCTCTGGTCTGAAATGGTACAGTGCAGACCTTGGTTTATTACTGTGCATGTTTCTTGTGATAGTTGGACCTTTGATTTTTTTGCGATAGTCTATGTAACAATTAGCCACCTGTGTTCCGAAGACCCATGGCCTGTTTACATTAACTCTCCCCTCGTTCTTCAGTGTGTGGACCTGAGCTGTAATGAGCTGACTGAAGTCACGTTGCCTGAAACTTTGCCTCCGAAGCTGCAGGAACTAGACCTGACTGGAAACCCCAGACTAGTTCTGGATCACAAAACCTTGGAGCTGCTGAAGTAAGGAGCTGTCCATGTTATTACACAATAGGCAAAAGGGTACACGATGCACTTGGGGGAAAGCGCTTGTTATGTAAACATTAACTGCCCATAATTCTTTTTTTTTTAAATGAGTATGTTCAAGAGGATTGTTTTTCTTTTGAAACTCAGTAAATAACTGGTTTGGTAAATAAGAGCCTAGAGCCCAGTCCTTACAGTTTAATGCAGGGGTCTTCAAACTTGACAGCTTTAAGACTTGTGGACTTCAATTCCCAGAATTCCTCCTCCAGTTATGTTAGCTCAGGAATTCTGGGAGTTGAAGTCCACAAGTCTTAAACTTGCCAAGTTCGAAGGCCCTTGCTTTAATGATTCCTGTTTGTTCTTATCCAAGATCTCCTTGAACCCAAATAATGATTTCTTTTTTCTCCTGACCTTCACACCATTCTGAAGATGGGTAGCACTTCTTCCCACCCAATCACCTCCCACGCAGAGAATCAAGAAGCAGTAGCAAAAATTTGTATTTTTAAAAACACTTTTTCTGCCTCTGGTCATTTTTGGTTCTGTTCATGCCTGTCTTTTTGCCAGATAAGTTGAGAGAGTGACCAGCTGTCAAGGTCATCCAGTCAGTTTCCTTATTGGAGGTTTATGTCCCCTTACTCCTGTTTTGCTATGCTGAATGCTCAAGTCCTCAACTGTGTTTCTTGGCTTATGATAAAAGTGGCTGCTGCCCACCCTCTATCCTGAAGAACGAAAGGAAACAAAATGCCTTTGTCCTGTCCAAAGTGATTATATATTTACATATTTATGAGCCTCACTTATATCTCCTTCTACCCTATGATTCCAATACCTCTATTGCTGCATACATTTTTTTCCGCTAAATCTAGCGGCCCGTTTAAGAATATGTCAAGTTTCTTGTGTGAGTTGAAGGTTCTTATTTACGTGTTCTTTTTTTTAAAAAACACATCCTAATAAAATGGGGTAATCCTCTTTGTGAAATATTGAAAGATCTGCTATTGTGAACAAAAGGCCTTTGTCTCTCATAACTTTCAAATATGTGATCTGAATTTGCTGACTCATGACTTGGAGGTTCGTCATGGTCAAAGGTCTCTTTTGGTGAACTTTATTTCCACTGTATCTGTACAAGGAAATAATTGTGTGGCTTTTTTGACTGCCTTTTGGAATTGCACAATGACTTCCTTAAGGCACTGTCATATTGCTGTGAAGATTTCTGCTTCTTGTCTTTCTCTGACTGCTCCAAAAATCAGTCTTCAGTGGCCATTGTAAAACCCCTGGTTCCAATGAGATCGTCAGCAAATGTATATCTGTCATTTTTCAAAGAGTTTTGTCAGAGAATCAATCACCTTCCTCGTTCTCTGTAAATCTCTACACGACTTTTAGTCATTTTATGAACTTGTATAAACTTACCCTGCATGAATTGCAATTAACTCAATATTGTCGCCTAGAACAGAATCTTTCCGGTTCAGTTTAGTAAGTATCTTCAGACCCTTCTGGAAACTCCACTCCTTTTGACAAACTTGTCAAAGCCCAACCCTTGGCATACTGTGTTGCTTGCCAACAATTAATTATCCCCTGCTTCCAGTTCAGGGCCCAGATAACACACCTTTTTTTTTTTTTTGCATAGGATTGTGTCATTCAGGTTATGATAAAGAATCTTGACATGCAGTGGCTTTTCCTAAGTTCTGCATGGCCAAGTTGAGAAGCTAGATAGGCTCAAACCTCTTCTCATTCCTAGTGTTGGAACCCCCAAGAGAGAGAAGGTAAACCCATCCTGAGCAGTATCTTTTTCCATTTTCCCCGTCACATCAATATGAGAAGAAGAAAAACCAGTCCAAAGATGGAGAGAGATGCAATATCCCTAAGTTACTAGATAGCTCACTACCCAAAAATGTAGGGGGGGGGGAGAAGGAGAGGGAGAAGAGAACATTTCTAAGGTCTCTTGAGTTGCCTGTTTTTAAAGGAAAATGGTGGTCTCTTGGCCAACTTGAGAAGTGGACAGGACTGATAGAAGCTGTAATCTGGAGCAGGAATTATCCATCTTTTTAATTTAAAGTAAAGGTAGTCCCTGACTTACGATACAGTTGAGTCCAAAATTTTGGTTGCTAAGTGAATTTTGCCCCATTTTATGACTTTTCTTGCCCCAGTTGTTAATGGAATCATTGCAGTTGTTAAGTAAGTAACAGAGTTGTTAAGTGAATTTGGCTTCCTCGCTGACTTTGCTTGTCAGAAGATTGCCAAAGCTGATGATGTTAACCTGAGATACTCCAAAATGACTTCTAGATAGGGAGCATAATAATAATATTAGGGGTGTGCAAAACATTTTCATTTTGAAAAGGTTTTTTAAGTGCAGCATTTTAAGAAAGACTTGGCTTCAGCACTTAACTTCTGATTTCAGTGGAACATGGCAATGCTTTGGCATTTTGGCTTGAGCTCAAAGCCGACCGGTTCCAAGTTTGAAATCTTCTCTTTTGAGCTTGAAAGCGTTCAAAGTGCTTGAAATGTGATATTTGCCACTTGAGATAAGACATTTTGTGAAATTCGATGCTCAGAAATGGTTTAAAGCAAATGATTTTGCTCGCTGTAAAACAGGGGTCTCCAACCTTGGCCACTTTAAGACTTGTGGATTTCAACTCCCAGATTTGGCTGGGGAATTCTGGGAGTTGAAGTCCATAAGTCTTAAAGTGGCCAAGGTTGGAGACCCCTACTCTAAAAGACACCAAGTTCCTGGAGTGGTCTCTGCTGCTTTTTTTAAATCCTTCCCTGTCATCCCATTTAATGTGCTGTAGTATACTTCTGATTATCCCAGCTTAACTTTTTATCTTTTGGGGGGGTGCAGGAATGCAAACTTCTCAACCAATTGCTGAGCTGCAGAAGCTCATCCTTTTTTTCTAGGTACTATAAAGGTTCACATTTACCATCTAACATGGCTAACATATTGCAGGTCAGCAGTAGGACTCGTGAAGTGGACAAAGGGCAGAATTTTCAGAGCCTTGAAAGAAGTGTTTAGGGAATCTATAGGGGCAAAGTAAGCACCTTAAACATCCTATATCTCCCTCAAATTACGTTATAATCTTTTGTACTTATCCAAATTGAAACGAGGCCGGAAAAGTTTGACTGATGCTGCTGAGGTCATATGCCATGCCTTCTATACCTACAGGTAGGGCATAAAAACAAAGGATGGCCTCCTGTCCAAAAATGGTTAGCAATGCTTTAGCTAAAATGACATGATACCTAGGAAAGAAAGGAGTGATGAAGGGTACATAAGAAAACCCTTGATCTTTAATCTCCTTTTCTTTTGACCATTCCACGCCAGTGGAATTGAGTTCTTAGGCAAACTGATGGTGACCCTACTTATTTCTTTCAGTGGCCACACTGGAGAGGTGGCAGAGATGCATTATTGAACTTAGAAAGAGGCTCTGTGATTGCACACAACTTATAATGCCTTCCCTTGCCCTTCCTCGGATGTTTGCAATGAACGCTTCATTAACTTTTGCCATGTCTTTGCTCATGTTGTGTAGATGAGTTATTTGCCTTCTTTGGAAAGCTCATCGTGAATAGCAACAGCACTTAGATTTATATACCACTTTTCAATGCTTTACAGCCCTCTTTAAGTGGTTTACAGCAGGGATCCCCAACCTTTTCGACGCCGCGGCCCGGTTCCGGCATCAGCTGGGCGCCACGGCCCGGTTCTGGCGTCAGCTGGGCGCCGCCATCTTTTTTGACGAAAAATTGCTTTTTTTACCAAAAAAAGATGGCGGCGCCCAGCAACCAGCGGCCCGGTAAGGCTTGTTCCGCGGCCCGGTACCGGTCCGCGGACCGGCGGTTGGGGACCCCTGGTTTACAGGGTCAGCATATTGCTCCCAACATCAATCCGGGTCCTAATATTATCGACCTCGGAAGGATGGAAGGCTGAGTCAACCTTGAGCCGGTGAGACTCGAACTGCCGAATTGCTGGCAGCCGGCAGTCAGCAGAAATACTCTGCAGTACTGCATTCTAACCACTGTGCCACCACGGCTCCTGAACTAAGAATTATTTATGAAACTGCTTGTATTGCACTATTATCTCAGGATCAGCAACAGTAGCATCCAAATCTGTTAAGAGTCATGTATTTATATAAAGCAGATTAAATTATATGCTTTGTTTTACTCTTTTTTTAAAACAAATATAGATTATAAAAATAAACATTGATTCATTCAGCCTATTGCACTGTATATTTGTGTTAAGCACTGGCATTTAAATAGTTCAGGGTTTTTTTTTTGTAGGGTGGCAGCTAAAGTTCAGACAAGTGTGTGGGTGAAATTTGCCATCAGAGTTCTGGATTGCAGGATAAAAGGATGCTCGTGGGAAAAGAGGAAGCCTGTAAGTGAGGTCAACTTAAGCAGGATACATGGGTGTGGATTTATGACTATACACGTGCAAACAGAAACACTTACAGAAACATACACACACAAAAATGACTTTGGATGAATACAAGTTAAATACTTTTACTGAAAAATAAATCCAAAAAAACCTGACGAAATGCAGGAATTAAAAAATGCAATTATGCCAGAACGCGTGGGAGGGAAAACCATTTTCATCTGTGCTTAGCTGTTTATTTTTTGCAATACCCTATTCAGGCAGCTAATTAACTTACCTTATTATTAACATTTCTAATTTCCTTTTTTAATGTCATATTTGACAACACTTTTTTTTATTTTAGAAAAGCAGAGTAACGAATATAGTACCGTAACTATTAAATGATGGTTTTTGTTGCCTATTCCGGGACTCTCATCACTGCTATCGTAAATACATTCTTGCCTAGTGACTTAAAATATAACTTACAAACATGACATAAGATTAGCAGAAGATGACGGGACTGCTTCCTTTTCTTTTGAAGCATGGATGCTTGAGCATTTTTGTTTCTCTTTGTAGCAATATTCGTTGCTTCAAGATTGACCAGCCTTCTGCCGGAGATGCCTCTGGAGCCCCAGCAGTGTGGAGCCATGGTTACACTGAAGCATCTGGAGTTAAGAACAAGTAAGCTGTTCAAAATCACTTGCAAGGCTTTTAGCCTGACTTTCCCCTTATCAGTATATTCACCTGTGTGAGAGGGGGGCACCTGTCTGTCGGATCTAGCTTAACCGTGGCATTGGATGGGCTACTGAACAACCAGATCTGGAGGGATGATAAATTTAATAATCATTGCAGGCAGCAGTGTAAAAACTCAGGGGTGCAAAATAATCAAGCATGCCTATTAAAATAAAAATACCTTAATTAGAAAGAGAGTTGTGTGTGCATGTGCGTATAAATGAGAAGGTTGGGTGGGTGGGGGGAGCCATGGTGGTGTCCCAAAGTCCATGTTGCCACCATCTCTCTTCTCTTTGTGTAAAACTCTCTCGCGCTATATTTTTAGAGCAGGCCATACCAATTTTTCAGAATGAAATGGTGTACTAGACAAAGCCAGGTCTAAAAATGGATTGATCTGATAGATATTCAATTAAGCTTAATATTGACATGGCTTTCCCTGTATTTTGGCCCTCCTGTCCTGAAAAAAAGTAAAAAAAAAGTTCCGCAGCCATATTTTGACGATGCCGGAATGTCAGCTTGTACATTCCTGTTAGAGGGAGGACCAGTTAAGCTGCTTTGAAGTTCCTTACAACTTGGCACAGCTACCATTCCTCACATTCTTTGCTAGGGAGCTATTTTTAACCCAGGTGGCAAAACTGAGAAATTCCAGGCCTACTGACACCAGCATCTTTACTTCAAGGGTGCCCCCTTTCTTTTCTACAAGCTGCGTGGATTATTTAGTTTTACCGATTAGTTTCCTACACAAGTTAGCATTTCTGACAGCTTTAACAAATATGACTTCCTCAGCGTTGCACTCTACTCAGATAAATCACATCAGGCCACTTCCACCACCCCCCTCCTACAAATTCAAATTTAAATATGGTGAGCCTTTGAGGAGGATATGTTGGTTTTGAAAAGTGCAAGTGAATGACTGAGATGAGAACAAACTGAGGGGAGCTAACTACCCTTCTCTGTACGTTAAAGGAACTGGAAGATCATTCTCTGGAGTGCAGAGTGGTGAATTCGTGCCTGTGCCTGTGTTAACATGAATAAGGAGAGAGGGTCGGGTATGGATAGGATACTTTGGAATAGGCGCTGTGAAATTGAACTCACTGATTTACAAAAGTGAATCTGTTCACTTGAAGCTATTCCTCATTTTCAGAATGCAGTGGAATCCTTGAGTTGCAAATTTACTCGTTGTGGTTTGTAAAAAAAAAAGCCTTAAATGCAAATATCATTTCTATTTATAATGCTCCATTTGGGGACTGGTTCCCAAGGTTACATTTGTATTATTGCTTTGCTATAGTATGGAAATGTGGAGTCCTCAGTGCTCTCCAAGCTTGATAGTTTTTTCTTGCAGACATTTTTGTTAGCAGACTAAGTAACAACTTTAGTGTTAGAAGGGGGTGGGATTTGTTTGCTCTCTGTTTATACACAGTAGCTTTCCCCGTCAGTGTTGGTGGGGATGTTGTTCTTGGTAGTTCCTCGATCAGGAATTAAGGCTCCTCTTCCAATTAATGCTTGATTTATTTTTAAATCTGGGTTGGCAGTTGCTTTGATTATGTTATTGTTTACTGCTTGATTTTTTTTGGTGTTAATCCCAATTTATATGAGTGCTGGTTGCTGATAAGGAGTTGTTCTGGTCTTTTTAGCTTTTTTATCGTCTTTTTTGAATGGTTAATAAATGTTGTTAATCTCTATGAGCTTGTTGATGGCTGATTTGTCTGATTGCCAAACTTCCAGCTTGGTCTACGATGCTCACAGTTTCCTGGTAGAAACTATGGTTAAGTCTGCCCATCTGTTGTAAAATTAATGTAACATATGTTCTGTAAGGATCTTTATGTCCCAAACTAGGTTTATACACGAGAAAACACACCTTATGGAGTTGCTGCTACCGAGATGCTAGGTTTTCTTGAGAATGATATTGAGTATTGGGTCAAAGAAAGTGTCCAGTTTAATTGAGTCTTGGAAGCATGTATCTCCCTCAATCCAAAAACCCACAGATATGGGAGTAAGAAGGCTCGACCGCATGATCAGATACAGAGTTGATAGAAGCTATTACATTTTTGAGAAAGGATCTCTTTTTTACTCCGCTTGAGACTACGATTGATTAAATGATGTCTTTACAAAATATTCAGAAAACTCTTACAAAATATTTTATAGGTAGTTCTTGACTTACGACCATTTAACAATGATTCAAAATTATAACAGCCTCAGAAAAAGCACCTTGCAACTTGTACTTGCATTTGGTACCATTATACCACTCCTGTAGTCAAGGGATCATGATTGAGGCACTTGGCAAGTAGCTCACATTTGTGACTGCAGTCATGTGATTGTAATATGTGACGTTTTTTGTGTTCATATGATTCACTTAAGGGCCACTGTAAAATTGGGCCCAACTTGAGTTACAACCACAACATATGACAAAAATTCCAGTCCCAATTATGATTTTAAGTCAAGAATTACCTGTATCCCAAACACTGGGACAGGTGAATAGTGCCAGAATTGCATCTAAAATGGAGTACAGTATTTTTGTTACGCATTTGCAGAAGACATAATGTTTACACATGTGCAGAAGCAATGACCATTGACCAGATTGTTTTGCCAAACAACAGATTTTTATCCTTTGAAGAGAGATCCAAAATCAGAGTTTGCTTTTAATGTCTGAATTGAGGTCTTTAAAACTGAGCATTTAACTACTGTAAATCAGTGTATTTAGATGCAAATTAGAGCAAAAAGAAGACAACTTCTTCCCAAAGCTTTACTTTTGGAAGTGATCCAGTTTAAGATAAAAGAGTATTCATGTGACAGAAGCATATTTGTGTTCAAAACATATATGATATCAAGAAAGATTTTCTTCCATCTATCCATCTCTTGGCTAAGGAAGGATCCTTCCACTCTTTCTGCTGAGCCCAATTATTTTCCATGGATTGATATTATCTCTTAATGCAGTCTCCTTCAAATCCATTCTTGAAGTTAACAGGAATTAAATCTTCTGAGGAGGCACCAGATAGGGAAGACAATATTTCCATCAGTCATCCACTGCAAGCTAAAATTTCACATGTATACAAAATTCAATGATTTTGTATGGTGATTTTGATTGCTTTCTGCTTATCCAGTCTGTGATACTGAGCGGCATAGGGAGAAGATATACAGCATGTTTTCATGGCATGTTCCTTCCATCGTTATCTGTAAGAGTATCTATAGTGCAGGTAGCCCTTGATTTACAATAGTTTGTTTAGTAACCGTTCAAAGTTAAATTGGCACTGAAAAAGTGACTTATGAACATTTTTCATGCTTACGACCATTGTAGGATCCCCATGGTCATGTGATTTGCTTTCGGATGCTTGACAACTGACTCATATTTATGACAGTTGCATAAATATGCAACCTTCTGACAAGCAAAGTCAATGGGGAAACCAGATTCATTTAACAACCATATTGCTAATTTACAACTCTAGTGATTCACTTAAAAAATAGGGCAGGAAAAGTCGTAAAATGGGGCAAAACTCAGTTAACAAATTTCTCGCTTAACAACATACATTTTGGACTCAATTGTGGCTGTAAGACAAGGACTACCTGTAGAGCTAGTCTCAGCTAAGAGGATTAGCTGAGAGTAGTATTCAGAGCTTTCTGCTAAGGGATTTTGTTGCTCAACATGTATAAACTGTCCTTCCTCATGAAGCTGATTAACCATGGTCCTACCAGTATGTTTTTTTTCTCAAGAGGCCAATGCTACAAGCAGGATATAGGTGCACTAATACAGTGATCCCCAACCTTTTTGACGCCGCGGCCCGGTACCGGCATCAGCTGGGCGCCGCGGCCCGGTACCAGCATCAGCTGGGCGCCGCCATCTTTTTTTGATGAAAACGTGCTTCCGGTGAGCTTTCTACCCGGAAAAGCTCACCGGAAGCACTTTTTCATGAAAAAAAGATGGCGGCGCCCAGCAAGCCGCGGACCGGTAGGAGTTGTTCCGCGGACCGGTACCGGTCCGCGGACCGGTGGTTGGGGACCCCTGCACTAATATATTCCCAATCATGTTTTCTGGATATTGGCACTGAAACATGCCATCTCCATTACTGGAGAATACCCTGAATCTTCATGGCAATGAAAATGAAATATTGACATATTATACATATTCTCTCTTCATTTTATCATTGTAAATACCTGGGTCTCAGTAGTGGCTATGTGACATTCATTGCCTTGGTAGCAAGTTGTTCTTGCTTAATGAAATTAACAAGTCGTATTAAATAAGAATGTGGTTTGCTTGGTTTTTGGATTAGCTATTTTAGCCATTGAGGTCTGTGGGCAAGGTTTGAAGATTATCTTATGTGAACCTGGTCAGTTGTCCTTTATCTCATAAATAATGATTAAGTGAAACAGTGAAATGTGTGAATCAAGCCCTACAGTCCGGGCACATCCAGTTCCCTGCTGACTGAAATATCTTCATTCTTCGGAGCTGTTTTCCTGGGCTCTCCTCGTTTGTCATGTCCCTTTTTCTGTAAGAATCTCTTTAGATTGTTTCATCATTATCTTAATGGCTCTGCTTATCCTCCAAAGAACTATTTTGAGACATTTTTCTCTAGTACAGAAGGAAAGCTAATGGCATGAAGCAAACAAATAAACAAACCCAAATTATCAAAGATGAGTTTGAAGATAAAAGGATACCCATACATTACACTCCCAGTGATGTTAAGAGTGGAACAACTGTAAAAAATATGGCTATGATAAAAACTTACATGTCCTGTGTTCCTTTAAAAACGAACACCCAGAATTCTGTGTCTTTTTTTTGTCCTTATCAAACTGAGCATAATTATATCTTACATTGCATAATTCTGGGTTTGGTAGTCATAAAGAGTGTCGGTGACTCTGGCAAGAATATGCAAGGATGAGGATTTGCATCTTTTTTTCTTTTAAAACAACAACTCCAAGATTCTGTACTGAATTCTGCATTTGAGAAACATGATTTGCATGAACATGCAGCATGACTGAGCTAGTCAATATTTCACTACCCCATTAGGATGCGAGGCAGGGGTGAAATTCAAAAATTTTCCCTACGGGCTCTGTGGGCGTGGATTCTAATCGTCCCTACCACCTCTCCTGAGGTAGGCCAAAGTGGTTGAATTACACCCCTGATGTGAGCCTGAAAGGAAGAGGGTTCTTTCCCTAAGGGCTGCCTTGAATGCCTCAAGAAAAGACAAAAGACAAATATAATAATCAGGAATACAATTTAAAGAGGTCGCGATGGTTGTTGTATTTTTTGCTAAGCAAAAAAAAAAGACTTTCCTAGATTGGTGTTTGAGACAAGCTTTTGTGGAGGCATCTCTTCAAACCTGGAAATGTCCTAGTTTCTTTATGTATCATTTTAAAAATTTCGTGTTCTGTCACTTGAACTTTTGACATTGGACATAATATCTTTTTAAATTTTAATAATGCTCTCAATAGTTCCTTGGTACATTTTTATCCTGTGTTTTTGTGTGTTTATTTTGTAATACGTTTTTGTGGAAATGTATAAATTATATTTTTCCTTAGTCACCTTTCAGTTAGAAAGAAGGTGCAAATTATATGTTGGATTTTTTTTTAAGGTAGCAGGATAGCAGTGGAGGCCAGCAGGTTCAAATATCAAGTTGACTGATTTGTGGTTTCTATTTTATTTATTTATATATCATAAATATATAAATTTTAAAAGAAGACCAACAATGATATTGGTATCCCAAAGAAATAAATATCTAAGGAGGTTGATATAGTTTCTATTCTTTTTTCTATTTAAATCTTTTTCCTATTTCCTTCCTAGTTTTTGGAGACAAGACTGTGACATTGTAATTTCTCTTAAACTTTACTGAACTATTCCTAATATGATGATGGAAACTCAAGCCAGTTACATGTAGAATCATCTTTAAAACAACTGAAATTATACTTCACACTACGTCTCATATGTCCAATCTTCATAACTTTAAGACTTATGGACTTCAACTCCCAGAAATCCCCAGCTGGCTAGGGAATTCTGGAA